AGCATGTAAAAACCATTGAGGGTCCATTAAGCATATAATTGGGTCACAGGAGGCCCAGTAACATCTATTATTTAAGTTGGGCCCAAAAGCCATGTTAATGAGTCACGAAGGCCCATTAAGCATGATTAGAATCTCTCAAGCCCAACCATTTGAACGTTTACTTGGTTTATATAGAATTAATGTTGCGAGTTGCTTAATCGATATGTCGTATAAATCACGAAATTGTTTTACAACGATTTATAGATTTATAAAATAGTTATTTTTCTATTCAAAACCCATAAGTTATAAAGTTTTGTATATTTTGACCCAATTATTATTATTATTATTATGATTGACCAAAAACATTAATTTGACCTATTCAGCCCCTTTATTTTGGTAAAGTTGGCAATTTCAGTCCTTTTTATAAGAAGAATGACATATTAGGTCCTTGGACTATTTTTCTTGACATCTTTGACCCAAACACTTATTTAAATAATGTTTTAAGCCCAAAAGTAAATTTTTGGAAAGTTTCAACCCTTTAGTTAAAAGATTTGCATTTTAGTCCACCCTTTTTCGCAATTTATACACTTTTTACCCAAAACCCAAAATCTTTGCATTTTAAATCCTTTTTGGCAAATAAGGCCATTTTAACCCCTGAAATAAGTTTATTTACTTTCCTACCCACTGTTTTGAGAAATTTACCATTTCAGCCCCCTTAAATCCATTTTTTTCGCAACTTTGGGCCTATGGGCCGAAAAGCCCAAAATTTAGCCCAATAAGCCATAAATTTCATTTTTAGTCCTTTGAAAAACATAATGTTCATAGAAACTTCTATTTTAACTGTTTTGGCATTTTGAACCATGTAAAAACCGTAAATGACATATTTTTCCCAATCTTTTACTTATTTGACAAAAATAGCCCAAAAATGAGTTTGATGTTGTAGTTTGTTATTTTAAAGCTTGTATATTAGTTTATCTTGACATGTTGAGTGAAATATGAACTAGATCACATATTTTTCCTTCTTAAACTATAGATCTCGAAATATCTTTCATTTTTAGCACAAATATATCACAAAATCACAAGAAAACACACATATCATGCAAATACACATAGATCTTCATATTTTACTTGCATTCTCCCCCATAAAACATATGAAAACCGAAAATAGAGGGGTATGAACTCACCTTGCTTTGTTGCTCACGGTTTTGAAGAAAGAAATGAAGAAAATTTGGTCCTAGCAAGCCTTCTTGGGTGGATCTCGATCTTAGGGGTTTCTAGGATGATGATCATGACTTTATATGAGTTGAGAAGAGAGTTTTGATAAAACAAAGAATCTAGATCATGAATCCAAGCATCAACTTACCTAGTATGATGATTTTTGTGGACAATCCTACTTGTAATGCCCAAGATCTTCGAATTTTTGATGAAGAAGAGGAGAAGTTGTTGTGAGTTCTTGAGGGAAAACTTTAAGTGAATTGTGTGTGTATGTGTGTTCTTCCTTGGCCGAGTGTGAAGATAAAGAGAGAGAAGGTGAGAGATGAGGTGACATGCATGGGAGTATGAGCTTGGTGCATGGGTTTCCAATGGTTAATTATGAGGTGTCTTGCCCTCATAATTCTACATTTCTCCCTTTTTTTTTACTTCTACTTGGGCCGAGAGAGAGAAAGGAGAGAGAAAAGATTTGGGCCTTGGTGTTAGAGTCCAAAATATGGAGCCCAATTTAATAGTTTTCGGCCCATTTGGGCCTTTGGAGTGGGTTACGGCCCAAATGTGCATGCAAGAATGGATTTGTGGCTTTTTAGGGCTTATTGGATTGTTATGGCCCAATAAGGCCCATTAAAGGTAACTAGTCCATTTTAGACTTATAAAGCCCAAAAAGGTTAAGTCTTATGAGAGTGGGTCCAATTAGAGCCCATTTAAGAGTTCTAAGCCCAAGATAGTCACATTGGAGGTTTATTGGCCCATTAGGCCCAATAAATAAATCCTAGTCCATAACGGACTTAAACTGGGATTTCTAGGGTTTCCAACCTTTTGTTGACTATTTGAGTGTTTTGAATAAAGTGTTTGATGGAATTTGGTTGTCATTGAATAAGCATCATACATTGCTTTCAAGTTTTTAGTTATAATGTTATCCTTGTTCAATGTTTACAAAGCATTAGAATTCCTAGTTGTGACACCTGAATACACTGAGCATGACTTTGATGAGGTTCAATGCACCCAAACGGAAACCCCCGAATCAACCCAACACGGAGCTGCAAGTGAAGAATCCTCCGGGACATTCGAAAAATAAAAGAGTAAGTGGAAACAAAAGAGCTGGTGGAAACAAGAGAAACGCAAGGGCACTAGAAGTTGAGGAGGAAATCATCAAGTTTGCAAGGACGCTTGTGGAACAAAATCAAAGAAGTGAACAAAATCAAAGAAGTGAAATGGATAAGGACATAGATGCATGTATGGAAAAATTGGCAAAAATGGGATGGGGAGAAGAAGATGAAAGACACAAGACCGCTCTTTTGCTATTTGCTGAAAGTGCTTTAGGAAAGTTTGGTTACGACTTACGCCTACTACTTGTGACTCGTGGGTGAGGAGTGTAGGAATGAAGTTTAGATACCTTTGATGACTTTTTAGATGTTACATTTGATTACTTTTACTAGTTCTTTGTTGCATGACTTTTGGATGTTAGGTTTTGATGACTTTTTGTATGACTTTTGTTATGTTACGTTTGATGACTTTTATATGCATGACTTTTGTTATTGGATAATTTTTGGTGCATGACTTTTGTTATTAGATAAATATTTTTCTTGTTATTTACTTTATATTTGACATGTTATAAATATTTTAGTTGTTATTTATTTTATATTTGACATGTTATATGTAATTGTTTTTTACAGGTCAGGTATGATTTCTAATGGTGAAGCTTTAGCCTTTTTTTTTTTACTTGTCTTGTATTGGTTGAGGTTAAACCGGATAAGGCTAAAAAAAAATTCATAGAATAAGTGATAACGATTCGAGCGGGTATGCGTATACGCAAGATTTGATACACGGGGACCCTACAGAATGTTACGATATGATGCGTCTTACACAAGAGGCATTTGTATTATTATGCAATCATTTTATGCAAAGAAGTTGGTTGCAAGCTAGTAGGACAATAAGCATTGAAGAGAAGATGGCTATGTTTTTACATGTTATAGGACATAATGAACGTTTTCGAGCGGTTAAAGGAAGATTTCATCACTCCACACAAACCATTCATCAATTTTTTCATGAGGTCCGAACTGCAATGATGTGTTTTGCAAAAGAAATTATAGTTCCAACAACTCCTAATCCAACAAGACATGCCTCAGAACGACAAAGACGGTTAAAAGCTATATTTTCCGGAGCAGTAGGTGCACAAGATGGAACTCTTGTACATGCAGTTGTGTCCGTTGATCAACAAACGCGATATAGGGGAAGAGGAAAAGGTGAATGTTATCAAAATGTATTAGGAATTTGTGATTTTGATATGATATTCACCTTTGTATGGGCTGGATGGAGGGCATAGCACATGATTCAAGAGTTTTGAAAGAAGTTGCATTTAATCCGACTTCCGGATTTCCATTTCTTCCACCAGGTTTTAAATCTTTATATAAGTTTATCTATATTCTTTATATAGGTTTTATTATCTTTATTCTTTATATAATAAATGTCACTCACCTACAGATAAATATTACCTTTGTGACGTCGCATATACCAACACTCGCGGGTTCATGGCTCCGTACCGTGGCACTAGGTATTGGTTAGCCGATTTTCGAGGACGTCAACCTTTAACTAAAGAAGAAAGGTTCAATATTGCTCATGTTCAGCTTAGAAATGTTGTTGAACGTGCTTACGGTGTATTGAAGGCGAGATTCCCAACCTTAAAACATATGGCTCCTTATCCTTATCTGATACAAAGAGACATAGTCATTGCTTGTGTCGCGGTTCATAATTTTATAAGGAAATACAATATCCAAGATGAGTTATTTGCAAATTTTGAAGAGAACGTTATGATTAATCCTGATGTGCACGGTGGATGGATTGAGGGCGAAAACACACAAGGCATAGAATGGGATTCAGAAGCCGTTGAATACATGGCTACTTTGCGTGAGCAAATTGCTAATCAACTACTTTCACCCGGTTTACTTTAGAGCTGTATGCAAATTAGTATGTTTCTATTTGGATTTTAATTGATTTATGTTTAATTACTTTGTAAGACGATTTGTATTTGGATTTTTAAATGATTATTGTGTAATTTACATTTTGTATGACAATATGTATGTTTTTATAATTATTCAGCAACTTCATCCATCACATAATAGAACAGCAGGGTAATATGGTCATTTTTCATCATTCAGCACAGTCAGTCAGATGTACAATCAAACAGCATGGTTTCTTTCCCAATCAGAAACTTTCCCGGACAGCAACTATCAAACGGGACCTTAGCCAACTTTTAAATATTTATGTTAATATTTCTATGTTTAAGTCATAAGCACTTCGGACCATATGATTGATAGATATACGAAGGAACTTAATTAATAAGCTCACAGGCTTGATCACTTTAGACGATCTAACTTCAAGCATCATTACGTTTCAAAAGCTTTACAACTAAAACTACAACCCAACATTTTCGCATTCATGTATATTTTTACATATTCAATTTTATAAATGTTGAAAGTGAAGTAGAAAAACATTGCAAAAAAAGTGTGAAAATAAGTTGGGCAATAAGTTGTCAAAAAGCTAAAGCCTAAAAGAGCGCATTTAGGATAGCTTTTATGTTCAGTAGTCTGCATGTAAAAAAATATATAAACTGGTACTTTAAAGATATATGAAATACAGTAATTGATTAGCCAAAATTGGCTTTAACCTAATTTTAATTATATATGTAAATGCGTTTTTATGGCATCTTACAGTTATAAAGCAAAAACTAGTTTTCTGCTAATCTGTGCACAGCCTAAATATAAAACCCTAATTAGCGTACACAAATTGACAAATACAAAATGAAAAGCATTGGAATAAAGATTTTCTGGGTTTTATTATTGGATTCGATAAAAAAGATAAGGAACATAAAAGGCAAGTATAAATACAACAAAAATTAGAGAGGAATCATCTAATATCCTGAGCTGAAGCTATGGAATGAAATTGATATAAGTGGACACATATGATACATTATGTATTCCAACATAAACATAAACATAGACATTACATATCTAACGGCGATGAGGGGGTCTTCTATTCAATGCTGAGAATTGGTTGTTGCCTCCACCATGATGATGTCTTCCTCCTCCTCTGTCGCCACCTTGATTCCCACGAGCGGCTGCCCATCCTGCAGTCTGATTGGCAGCACCATAGCCACCACTGTTATTGTAACCCTGGTGTGGATAGTAATGAGTAACGGCATGTGGAGTTTGATGGGTGACACGTGGATCGTATTCGTATCCAGGGGTTTGATGATCTGAAACTGACCTACTACTACTACTAGTGTAATTGGCATGGGCAGGTGAAGCATAAGGTTGGGGTTGAGCATAGTTATGTGATTGTGGAGTAGGATGATAACCCTGCACCATCCTACTTTGGTTGTGATGATAGGATGCTGGTGCTGGTGGTCTAATAGCATGGAAAGGGGGTGGGCGTGGGTCATATGGATGATGATAATGACTATTTCTTCTATCTGTCTTTATTTGTAAGCTATTGTTCACAAGTCGATGTGCAGCATCTCCAAGCTGCCGCCCAGGGTGGTGGTGCTGGTGCTGGTTGTTATAATTATTATTGTTGTTATTGTTGTTGTTATGCTGCCTGTTCTGCCCATTCCTACATCATCAAAAGTAGAAAATCATTCGTTAAGGACTGGAACCTTCTCTTCTCTATCAAAGAACAGAATAAAAATTCCATTCCATTCCATGGTGTGGGTGTTATTTTGTTGGTTTGAAAGATTTGAGGTAAGTTAAAAGAAAGAACAGTAATATGGTACCTTCCGTTCTCCCAGGGCTTTCTTCCAGAATCTTCATGCCATAAAGCAGGCTCTGGTTGTAAATCATCCACCGTCACCGTCTGCACCATAAATTCCACCAGTCAGTCGGTCACAAATAAAAGATAAAAAAACAACAATTGGCATTGCTATATTTATTTATTTAGACTATAATTTAATGAATGATAACTTTTTAATAAATATTTTTAGCGATTTAGATTATAATATTATAATATTAGTTAAGCTTGATTGATTATAAGTAATAAATAAATACATTACATAGTTAGAAAAAACATTGGTGTCATTAATGAAGTATAAAAAACTCGAGCTGAGTTGGGTTGGGATTAAGCATTGTAAAAATATTTTATATCAGAATGTTGGGTTAGGTTGGGGATAAAACACATTCTGAATTTAGTATGACAAGACAATGAACGATATAGCATTTACCTTTTTTGGTGGTTTGACCCCTGCAGGTGGTCGAGATATATGGTTATGATATTCTGGCAGTCTGTATATAGCACATCTGATATGCATGCAAGCAAGCAGACAGTAAAAATTAGATTAGTGAACCCCTCCCCTCGGTTGGACAAACAAACTAACTAACTTTCTAGGTCTATTTTTCTCTCGCGGATAACAAGGCTAAAGGAACAGAATGGAAGGCACCCAAAAGGACTGCTTTATTCCAAGTCCTTTCACCCAGAGCCTGAGATGATCTTTTAGACATATCTCTGTCCTCGGGAGAGGACACAGACAAAAGATCAATAGTTTATCACTAGTCTATGTCCCACCTTTCTAGGTTGGGGAAAAAAAACATTCCCAACTTCTTCTCTTCTGTTTATTTGTTTAACAGGGAGGGCCTACTTCCTTACACACCAACAATACACAATAGCAAAAAGGCAGTGAAAGTTTACATACATGACTTGATTATCCATGATGTCATCCATGCCGTCAACAGGTGAGCTAAATATTGGAGGACAGGGATCTCCGCCACAAAGGGATAGATACCCATTCATCCCCCCACTGCACACACCCACCAATTAAATCAGAAATAAAAATTTAAAAAAAAAAATCACATACGGGCTTGCAAAAAGAAAGAAAGGCTGAATACAAGAAAAAGAAACCTACACTCTTTATTTGTGTATTATACCATCCTTCTTCCATTTCTTTCTAGTATCCACTTCTTTTTTCATACTAAAGTATTCTACTTTAAAAATCTAACCAGTTTCCATTTTTTTTTCTTACCAGGACATTATACTTTGAAAAGTCTACAGTAGTGAAATTTGTTTTGTATTAGGACGACACTGCAATAATGGTAGATACTTATAGTACAATGCTGGAATAGGAAGACAATGGAAGTACTTCATTATAATAAACAAACCAATGAAAGTTTTTGGCTATTTTTTTATTTTAAGCCAAAACTTATAAAATATAAAAAGGGCTAAACACACACACACACACAAAAGGTAGTTTCATTTATAGCATCTTACTTTCTTTTCTTTCTATCATAGCACTGTATTTTGAATATTTTTCCACATTAAGGCATTGTAGTTTGAAAACATCTACCAAATTATAATACTGTACTCTAAAATGTTTTTCTTATGACAACATTATACTTTGAAAAATCTACCTAATTATAGTAGTGAAACTTGCTTTGTATCCGGATGACATTGCTATAACCGGTAGAACATTTCATTTGAAGTACAATGATGTAATAGGAAGATATGAATGTAGGATTTAATAAAGAAATTGATAGAGTATGTTGCTATTTTTGCATTTAATCAATAAAAAAAAAAGGGGACTAACTGCAATATAAGCAATGCATTTCTCTTCGTTAATGCATTGTACTTTGAAAATTTTCTTATTAAAACAAGACGTTGCCTACCCAGCTATAGCATTATACTTGTGATTTTCTTTTTCTTATTTGAAAATCATTCTTCAAATAACCTAACAAATTACAGCAATAAAAAACTAATTTGTAATAGGAAGAAATGAAACCAGGATGCTATTATAAAGAAATCAATGAAAATAGGTTGCATTTATCCCAAGACAAAAGATTAAAAATGCCAACAAGTAGACAGACAATGCAATACAAACCTACCTTGCGAGTGGGTCGATTTGTTCTTTGACTTCAACTCGTTCCTTGGCGGATAACTGCTTACATCGGTCGTTTAGAGAGAATATGTATGGAGATAATGTGTGTGATAATGCCACAAAAAGCATGTCACACATTGTGCTGTTTCTCCGAGCCTCTTCCTCCTGTATATAAATCACCAATTCATTTTCCTTCAATAGATACTTTCATCAACAAAAAGAAAAAAAAAAAAAAAAAAAAAGGCACGAGTTGTGTCCTTATACCGTTAAAGTATGCTCAACTTTTGACACTTCTGCAAGAAGGCGATCTTCATCAATGAAAGGCAACTTTGCTATTCCCTACATGTACGTAATTACCATAAGTTTGTTAATATTTTCAAATACAGAGAAACCCTGTTAAAGGAAAAGGGAAAAGAAGAAAGCATAGTGGATACCTGCCATGCAAAACGCTTCCCATTCATGTCGACTTCAAAATCTAAAAAAAAAAAAGGTGACAACTATTACAAGTCGTAAGTGGTGGTGTGGGATACCAATAACTTCCACCATGGTTTTAGAACTGATCCAAAGGTTACTGGGATAGTCTATAACTTCAAGCAGGCATGGCGTGTTACAAAATTTATCAGCAGCAGCCCAGCCTGCTAGGTGTATTGAGTTGTATGGATTGGATACTCATTCTAGGTGTGGGTAGAGAGCAGTTTGTATTAATCATGGCTTCAGGCTTGGGGTATTAGATTAAAAAAATACTATACCTGTTGGGTAAAAATCGATAATAGGCGAGTCCGGATCCATCATCAACTTTCTATAATGCTCGGGAAGAGCGTGGGAACTGTAAAAATGAACTCAGTTAAAGACATTTTTTTTGTTAATATGGAAAGAATCAAGATAATATATATATATATATATATATATATATATAACAGGTTCGACCTTGCAGCAGGAAACACGCCCATCAGTTGATTAAACGGTTTGAATGGGGAACCGAGTTCAAAACTGATGCTTAATTCTCCAAGATCCTTAAGATCAGAAGCAAACGGCGCATAATGATATGGGTAAAACCTGAAAGTACAAATATGAAATGTTTCAATATAATTATTTTTGAGGAACTTAATGCAACGAGGCATACCCCTAAACTCTAAGGTGGGTTTAAAGGATTATGGTTTAAAATTAATCCACCAAGTAATCTATTAATGGCTGTTTTCTTTTGACTATGCAGAAAGAACGACTTATTAGAGAAAGTCATCCCCTTAATTCCTATCTTTTACAAAATTGGCCTCATTTATTTTTTCCTTCCGTTTACCCAAGTGTGGCGTCATTTTCTCAAATATGTTCAAAAACCATTGATCCAGACAGCAGTTTATATAGACAACACAACACTACATGGAAAGACAAGGCCAAAGTTACTTATACAAAAACAAAAGAAAATTAATGGTTGGCCCTTTTTAGAAAAACTAGATCAAGAACTTTTAGATATGTTCCCAACATATACCACACTGAACGAACATCTGACAAGTTGTTCAAAACTCTTATATCAAGAACGAACTGAAAATGCTTCAATGATTCCAAAATCCATCAAGTATAAACAGGTAGTACCAATTAAGCTTTGAGCTAAATGCAAGATACACCAACATAGATTCATTCATTTGTTTATGATAGCATCCTACTTTCAAATCTTCTTATTACAGCATTTTAGCTTCAACTAATCTTATTAAGACAGTGTACTTTAATAGATCCAGCCATTTATACATGTGAAAACTGTTTTGTGTTTAGACAGCATTGCTGTTTTTGGGTACATTTTTTTAAGTACAATGCTATAATAGGAAGAGATGAAAGTGGAATGCTATAATAAACAAATAATGAAAGGGTGTTGCCTTGGTTTTAAAAAGCGTAAAGCGCCCTAAAGCGCTAAAGCCTTTGGGGGCCGATGCGCTAAGCGCTAAGCGAAAGCGCTCGCCTAGAGCACACGATGCGCCCCACATTGAAAAAAATATAAAATATATGGAAATACTTAAAAATCTCGTAAAATCATAGTAGTATCATATTAAATCCTAAGTACTGATACTAGAAATCGTCTAAACTATCATGTAGGATAAGAAATAACTTATGAATTATGTGTATGACTTAACAGTTAGGTAACACACGTTAGTAGCAAACAACTTAAGAGAAAACATGTAAATATAATGACCAAATTTCATCCTTCAGACTATCAGACTTCAGAGTTTTAGACTTGAGAAGAGAATAGAATATGTAGATTAGTATAATGGAATGGAAGTAGAAAACATTAGCAGAGTTGATTTCTGATTACTTGGAGAAGATGAGTTGGAGCGATGATACGATTTGCTCTGTTTGTGTAATCGTGTTTACCGCCTCTAACAATATTGATTCTACATCCCTTTCCTTTATTTATATAAACCTATTGGCCCGTCTAACTTAATTAAAGGCCCATTTTCTATTAATTACCCTAAGCGGTATTAAGCGCTGAAGCGCAATGCGCTAAAAAGCGGGAAAAAGCGAAAAAGGCGACCGACTAAGGGAATCGCATCGCATCTCATTACTTGATGCGCTTTTGGTCATCGCTTGGGCGCCTAGCGCATTAAGCGCGCCTAGTCAGCGCTTTTTTAAACCAAGGGTGTTGCTATCTTTTTGCATTTAACCCTTATTTTTATAAAAATAGTGGCTTTACAATAAATATATATAGAAGAAAGTTACCACTGCCAGGAACAGACACCTTCGTAGTAATAATGCATCACCCAACACAAGCCTTCTGTGTATTTTTAAGACCTGTGAAAAACCCATTAGCATATAGTTTAAGGTTCATACTACTTAGATTTATATTTTGTTTTCTAAAAAAAATGGCTAGAAGATATATTTTTTTATAATAATCTTATTTGGGTTTAATTGAGCTTTTCATCCGTACATTACATATCAACTAAGCACAGGACGGAATCAACTGAAAAAGGTTTTGGAATCTTACAACATCTCTCCGTATTTCCTCAAGCTCTTCAGGGGAACTTGCAGAGAACTTCTCTTCATAGTACCTCTCTTTCCATCCAGGCACTCCCAATTTTATCTGGCAACAACCCATCATGAGAATAACATGTAAACTATAAATCATAGAGCAACATAGTTTCATTTATTTGTGTATTGTAGCATCCTACTTTCATTTCTTTCTATTACAACATTGCACATGCACATACTTTTTTTTTCTTATTAAGACATTCTACTTGGAAAAATCTACTCATATTCATATAGTATGGTGATGGTAGTTTGTGTCATTGTAGTTTGAAAAGTCCACCCAGATATAGACATAGTAGTAGTAGGGAAAAATAGGTTTGTATGTGGATTACAAAATATAGAAGTAGATTGGTATTTGTAGAATATGGTAAGAGTATTGAGGCATATAAATATAATGGTAACCTTATCTTCCTCGGGCTGGTCAGAATTAAAAGCATCAGACTTGTCACGAAGTATCCCCTTGAGTTTTGTTTTGAGTTCTTCCTTATTGTCAAGTACCTGAAAACAAGTAATACCTTTTTTATCCGAAAAAAGGGCCAACTGCCATATATAACAAATATAACAAGATCTGGATTCTGGAGAGCCAAAGAAGAAGGAAGGAAAGTGAAAGGGTTTGTTTATTCATTTAACTAAAAAGCAGTTGATAATGTGAGTGAGAAGGGAAACATACATCATTTTCAAGACTGGACTCAGCTTGAACAATGGCAGCACCAACAGAAGAAGAGGTGGAGAGGCGTGCAAGTTTTTGTGGTCGGGAATGGTATGGTGAGGGGGAAGGTCCAGAAGCAAGACGTGATCCCTGAAAGCGGCCGACTGGAACTAATGAGTCCGGTTCCATTTGTGGTGCCGCATCATCTCCTCTCATTGCTTGAGATTTTGCTTGAGATTTCTCACGTTTTATCCTTTCCGCTTGTCTCTGCACAACACAAACATATTATTATTATTAATTAATATCCATCTTTCTCAACTCAAACTCAAACTCAAACTAAAACTAAATATAACCTGATGCAACCGCCCTCTTTTCTGAAATATTTTATCTTCGTATGACCCCACCGCCTGAATAAACTGCTCCACTTTCTTAAGGTCTGGCTGGGAGTCAATAACAAAACAATTCAGATACATAGATACCTACTACTTCAATATAACATTAGATAATACTCACCTTGCTTCCATTAGTCAGATACCCATTCAGGTTCCTAAACTCCTTTTTATACACCGCTAGCAGTAAATTAATTGCACCCTGTCAACCACCACCACCCAGATATAACAAATACACCTTAAACAAGATATATATATATTAAAATTAAATTACTCCTACAGTCCTACATGCCATGCTATATTATTCTTTCCAATCCATGTATCTTTTTCTTCTCTTTTTTTCAGCCTAAAGTTTCAGAATGCTACTTTCTTTTTCGTTTTCTTTTTTTGTTTATTATATAGCATCCTACTTTCATTCCTTCCTGTTACAGCATTCAAATTCGAAAAATCTACCCAAATATATAGCAATGTCATCAAATTACAAAACAACTTTCACTGCTATAATTGAGTAACTAGATTTTTTCTAATAAGGAAAAATTCATACTACAATGCTCTAATTGGGTAGACTTTTCATAGTACAATGTCCTGATAGAAACAAAATTAAAGATGCTATGATAAACAAATAAATCAAGGCAAGTTGCTATCTTTTACGTTTAGCCCTTCTCAAAATATTAAACACATCATTTGAATCCTCTTCTTTTAAGATTAATCTAATTGGTTACTTCCCATTTGTAATAAACTTCTCTATGTAGGAATCAAATTAATTTTTATATGCATCTGTATTCTGTCACTATATGTAAATACAATGTATTGGTTTAATGGGGTGTTTGGAATTTCATCTAAAAACTCCTTTTTAACTTATTGACATCTTGAAAAGTTAATAAGTTAAAAAAAAGTGTTTGGATACCTAATAAGGACTTTCAAAACAACTTTTAGTTTAGCCTTTCAAAAGGAGTTTTGAATAAGTTACAATTTGTAACTTATTGGAATGACTTACGACTTATTAGAAGAAAAAACAAGCAAAAGTCAATAAGTTAGTTAGCCAAACACTTTTTAACTTATTGACTTTTGCCACTAAAAAGCTAATCCAAACACTTTTTTAAAAACTACTTTCTCACATTCATAAGGCAATAAGTCCTTTTTAACTTCAAAATGAAATCCCAAACACCCTCTAACTCTACTCTATACATTACTTAGCTACAAGTAATGAATTTTTTTTATTTGTAAAAACTAAAAAAATGAAGCATGACAAAAGCTCACGAAAATTTAACCAAAAACTATACATTTTAGTTATTTTCGATAAAAACAAATTATTATTTTATTAGATAGAATCATTGAAATTAAAAAAATAAATAAATAAATAAAGCTGTGTCGTTATAAAATTAAATAAATAAAAAGGGATTTTTATTCTGATTGTACCTCACGTATTTCCAAAGTGGGCATATGTGGTAGAAAGTCGTTCCCAACAAAAAAACACATGAAGATAAAGTCATCAACTATTCGCTCAAAATCAATCTTGGAAGGAGGATTAGGAATTCTCATCTCATATTCAAGGTACTCTCTAAGAGTCCATATGTTGAGAAACTGCAAAGCATACACATGTTATTCCATAAAATACACAGCCTTCCAAGAGCAGAAAATGAATTGGGGTTAAATGCAAGAATAGCAACACTCTTCCATTAAAGTTTCCTACTTCTGTTTCTTCCTATTACAGCATTGTACTTTAAAAAATCCACAATGTCATCCAAACACGAAGCAATTTTCATTGCTATAGTTAGACAGATTTTTCAAAGTAATAAGAAACATAATGCTATAATTGGGTAGGTAGTTTTTCAAAGTAGAGTGGCTTAATAGGATTAGGAAGCAATAACACATAAAATAATGGAAGTTTGTTGGTATTTCTTGCATTTGGCCTAACAAATAATTGCATAAGTTCAGTTTGACAGCTACCTGGTATGGTTTCTTGGGCACAACCTCAGCATTTCCTTTTTCATCAAATTCCCCAGCTTTCCTCTTTGCCTTTTCCTTCACAGGTTGCTGCTAAATGACCCATTTGACCACAAAGAAAACACTTGTCTTGTTGTCCAGGAGTAAATACAACCTGAAACAACCCAGTGTCATATGCAAAATACATGTCCGTGCCCATGTTCACAGCAGGATAATGGACTTGATTAAATAAAGTCAATGTGTACAAATTATCAAAATATAGGAGTATTACTATTTCTTTTGACCACACCTCTACTGTTTGATAATACATGCACTGTTATAATCAGCAAATATAGTTGTCTACTTAAGACATATTGCACTCCTCAATTTAACCTCTAAAAAGTGACTCAATGGTTATTCTTTCTTTATATATTTTCTTCTCATATCAACCCTTGTCCCAATTATATAGCATGCATGTCAGGTGTTTAGCAGAGTGTAGTAAGCATCACTCACTTGAATAAGATAATATCAATAAGCATGGATCACTATTAAGTTTAATAAACAGAGATCACTGGCACTGGACAGCATTAGGTGTAAATAAAATCTAGAAAAATCAAATTAAATATACTTCTAAGTTAAAATCAAAATATTATAGTATTATTTTCCATTCTGTTTCCTGGTAAGCAAAAGGTCAAGAGATTACAGTTCCTTCCCCCTACTTTATTGCAGATACAACTAGATTAAGGTTTGTGCAATTATACCTCTCTAAGTATCGAAAAGTGGACTTCATGGGTAGCTAAAGCCAACATGATGAGATCAGCATCCTGTAGTTTAAAAAAAAGATCAAACTTTAAGTGGACAGTGCCAAGTGTCAAATGTAATGAATGAAAACGAATAATACCAATCCGTATAAGCAATGGCGGGTGTTTGGATCAAAACCAGGAAGGTTCCTTTGTAGCCGAATATATGACATTATCTTATGTTCCCCTTCACCAGGAACATTAGCATCCGAAAGGATAACCTTCAAAAAAGATCAACAGGTCATGACTTGGATAAGTTTGCTTCTGCAATAAATGTTCCTTGAGTAATTTATGCAACTTAAATAGTAGTATATTATAGAGTGGAAAGTAGAATGTCCTAATTAAGAAGAAAACTAAAAGTGCACATGCAGTGCTGTAGGTAGGTAGGTAGGTATATTGAAAATTTAGAGAAAGAATTTACCTTTATAGGCTTCCATCCAGGATCATTGTTTAATCTTTGGTGAACATAGTACTGGAGAGCAACGGAGAGAACAGCCATAAATTCAGTCCCAGGGGTGATGACATTTGAGTCAAAAGTTTGTGATTCTTGTTTGGGAGGAAGCTTTCTGCCTTCCCTCTCAAACTCCTCTCTAAGCCTTTCCTCCTCAGCTGCCTACAAAATGCAATTTCTCAACCCATGCACTCACATACAATAATAAAAATTAAAAACTGAGCCAGAGCCCCTTAGTTAGAGTTTGATCGGGGTAGGGTGTTTGTTTGTTACACGTACCGCATCTGCTGCATCTTTGGCTGCTCTAAACCGCCTAGATCGCTGCTGATTCATTTTTGCCCTTGGAGCAACACCATCTACACCACATTTTTTTTCAGACATTTTTGTAAGAATTCATTATCAGTTATAAAATGAAATATGATATTACAAGAATTTTTCAGGCTTACTACACACCAATAGCCATATAAAGCAATTTCCTAGGTCGCACCATCACAAAGAGCCGATCGATGTAGTCAAACATGCACTGGAACACCTCATTAAAAGAGGTTGGAGAAGGCTGCATTCATCACTTTTCATTATTAAGACACTGCATAAAAAACTTACAATCCTAGGTGCTGTTTCTTTTTCACTTAATAATAAAGGATTTCTTTTACAAATTACAAACATGGTGACTTAATTTGTTGTTTGGACCATTTATGTATATTCCAGGACCTCCCAAAAACACTCTGACCTGAAGTTACTGGTTACAACACCCCACCACTCCAAAAACATTTATGAATCTTCAGCAATGTTACTTTTTATATTACGATTTTGGTGAATATGTTGAGAGTTTTGTTATTGTCCCTTAAAACTTTTGCCTCCATATGGTAACATGAGGTATTGGCTCCATATCACTTCTAGACAAGGATAAAATGGTCAATCATTTACTCTCAATAAGACACTTCATTCGGTCAAAAAGACTTTGCTATTCAGCAATTTCCCTAGACAGAATTCATTCATCATACAGAGCTCTATCCATTCAACAATGAATGGAAAAAAAATAATAATAAAAAAAATGAAACAGGCAGTTATTGTTACAGATAACTCCAAGACATATCTGTCATCAATGAGGAAAAAGAGTAAAACAATGTTTCTCACAAAACCGCATGATGTACGTTATAATAGGTCAGTTTAAGCTTTCTCGTTTCTGTTACTACCACAGCCCCTAATTATGGGTTCATCACATAAGCTGCTCAAAGGCCCCATAATATATATAGCCAATTTTAAGGATGTAGTTATGCTTGCTTTAAGTAACCTCTGGAGGATTAAAACCTAAGAAAGAGGCAAAGAGATCTTTCCTCCTGCATGCTTGGTACCATCCTTGAAACAGAGCTTATCATTCATTTATCAATCCAAAATAAAGGATACCGAAATGCCATGATTGATTCCACATGTATGTTTCATTAACCTCAATAATGATGCTTTTTAGGTGAGATAAATGTAGAGGGTGAGATTTATTGAAAGCAGTAGACTTTGGGGACTAAAATCTCAAAGGAAAAGTCCCCACACGAGTGTCCTATCCATAGGAGAGGTCTCAGGTTCAAGCCTGGGTATAACCTTTCTTGCTATAGGGACAGGGACATAGTGATTTACCTCCCGCATGGGTCACGTATACCCTTTTAAAACCTCAATGAAAATTGGTGTGTGTTGTTATTTGAAAAGCTTTGATATGTGGGTTTTGCTCAATGGTTTCCGTTCTTCCTTGCTGGGAATGTTCCAAAGCAACTTTTATACAGGAAGTGCTATGGGCTTCTTTGTGTTTATGTATTATTCTATTCACCATAGACCATCATACAAACAAACTTGAAAGATTTATTAGGAAGTAGATAATAGTTGAATACAGATTAACTAATTGCAGGTATTTTGGCTATACAAATAATTGAACAAGAGTGACTTTTCTAGGCTCCAATATACTAGGTACCCATACCCTTTCGACCAAGCTAGTGAAGTAATTTGGCAACAAGACAAGTTATAAGGTGAATTTTATATGCAAAAGGGCCATTAGGTTCAATATAGAGCATCTCAGCCATGAATGATATTCTTCTATTCTCCAATGTCAAGGATTGGAAGAGAAGATTCCAGGGTTGAATGTGAGGCTAACTTTTTAGTGTATCACATTCCTTGTGGATTATTAAGAAGCGTTTACAAATAGAATTATAAATGGTTACTCTAATCCTATGAGCTCTCAAAACCTTCCGAGTTTTTTAATCATTTGAAGAAAATATCGATGAGAAGCACAGGAAACACATGACATATAACTACAAAAACAAATTATCTCAGACTAAACATACATATACACACATAGAGAGATATAGATATAGAGATAAATATCTCTATTGAGAGAGAGAGAGAGAGAGAGGATGGTTACCCGGTCTTCGGGGTGAAAACAGGGATGGATTATTCCGTTCATATCGAGATAAAGGTTGTCATACTCAATTTGATTAGGGTTAGGTTTACTTGTATCGACGGGAATTTTAATGCCGTCAATTTCCACGGCTTCTTCCTCTATAACATCAACAACGACCATTGGGTACTTCTCCGCTAGCCAGCGGTAAAACGCCGGTACTCCCATCGCCGCCGAAGATATGTATCGTGCCCCGCTGCAAAAGGTCCAGAGCGCCGCTTTGCGTAGGGGTTCGTCTTGACAATCTGATTAATGAGGAAGAAGGGTAGGGTTGTTTTGTAATTTTGAGTATCAGGCAAATGTATCATGTCATGCTAAGTTATAGGTCGATGCCAAGTATCTCTTACAAGTCTTTTTAGACGGACTCAGATCAAAGAGTCAGGGCTCGAATATTTTTTTCACCAATATTTTTTTCACTCCAAATTATTATATATATATATATATATATATATATATATATATATATATATATATATATATATATATATTAAAGTTATGAAAGATTTTAACAGTAAAGTGGCACATTTTTTTGTCAATTTTGGTCCTCCAACTTACATCATTAACCCTTCATCTTTATGCTTTTGTTCACAAACAACCTTTTCACTTTGTTTTGAATTTTTCATAACCCTCGCCTTTTATTACATATTATTAGTTTTTAGTCTTTTGGCAGAAATGGTCCCTCATCATTATTATTATTATTGTTAGACAAAATTACACGATTGGTCCCTGTGGTTTACCAGATTTAACATTCTCTTTTTGGTTTTAAATTAATGTTTTATTTATTAGAAAATACTCACCCAATACCATAAACTCACCCACCATCTGCCATCACCACCACCACCACCGCTAAAATTACATAAATGGTCCATATGGTTTACCCATGGTGACAAATTCAGTCCCTACTATCTGAAAAGACCAAATTACCCTCACATTAACGGATAAAAAGCAACCAACATGTTACTTTACTTTACAAAGCAATACCTTCCGACCCCGGCAACGCTGGGGAATCTTTTCTAGTTTTGTATATATATTTGTAAACTTTGATAGTTATTGTAAACATCTATATCTTTATAAGGGATATATACACTAAAGTCCCAATATTTTCATCGATTTGACAAGAAAGTCCTAAACTTTATTTTTTTTTACAGTAAAGTCTAAACTACCGGCAATATTTGACACTTTTACCGTTTTTTCCCGGTTAGCCGGTAATTAGGACTTTTTTGTCAAAAAAAATAAAGTTTAGGACTTTCTTGTCAAATCGTCAATTAGGACTTTACTGTCAAAAAAATAAAGTTTAGGTCTTTCTTGTCAAATCGTTGAAAATATTAGGACTTTAGTGTATATATCATTTTTTTGTTAGAAATTTAATGGTATGATACTCTTTAAGCATAAGAGTTATTGAAACATTTCTAGTCAGGTAGATCCTATTGAAATCCTTAATGTTTGCTTCTTGTTAAATCGTTTTTATAATCTCAACAAACCAATATTGAAAAAAATGGAGATAATCAAGAAAGAAAGAAATAACCAGGGTTGTGTTGGCTTTTTGCAGTCCCAAAAATGGAGAAACAAGAAACCGAAAAAAACGAAATTGTCATTCTTTCCCTTCTCCACATTCACACCCTTTTGACTAGGTATGTGTTGTTTGTGTTTGTATAATCTGTCCCCACTTTTTAGTTCAAGATCTGGCGGCGAAGTAAGAAGAAAGTTTTACAAGTCTTTTCACCCTTGTAAAAGTTTCTTCTTGCTTCGCCGCCAAATCTTGAATTAAAAAGTAGGAACAGATTATACAAACACAAACAACACATGCCTAGTCAAAAGGGTGTGAATGTTAAGAAGGGAAAGAAGGGCAATTTCGCTTTTTTCGGTTTCTTATTTCTCCATTTTTTAGACTGCAAAAAGCCAACACAACCGTGGTTATTTCTTTATTTCTTGATTATCTCCATTTTTTTTCAATGTCAGTTTGTTGAGATTTAAAAAACTATTTAACAAGAAGCAAACGTTAAGGATTTCAATAGGATCTAGCTGACTAGAAAATGTTTCAATAACTCTTACGCTTAAAGAGTATCATACCATTAAATTTCTAAAAAAAAAATGATATATACAATAAAGTCCCAATATTTTCAACGATTTGACAAGAAAGTCCTAAACTTTAGTATTTTTTACAGTAAAGTCCTAATTGACGATTTGACAAGAAAGTCCTAAACTTTATTTTTTTGACAAAAAAGTCCTAATTACCGGCTAACCGGGAAAAAATGATAAAATTGTCAAAAATTGCCGGTAATTTGGACTTTACTGTCAAAAAAATAAAGTTTAGGACTTTCTTGTCAAATCAATGAAAATATTGGGACTTTAGTGTATATATCCCATCTTTATAAACCCATATAAACTTTTTATTGTAAACATTTATATATGTCCCCGCGCCAAGCGACGGGTACAAATAGTTTTTTACCCCATAAATTAGTTTCTTGAGGCAATTCTTACTATTGAACAATTCAATATAGTTAAAAAAAATACAATTTCAAAGCTAAAACTACATAACTTTGATTATAATGTCCCCACTTTGTAACCGGAGCAAATGCAAATCCTTTCAAAGAAAATAGTACATATATTTTAAGCATTCGAAGTGTAAGAACCCATGAAATACGATGACACGCGTCAAGGTCTAAAGATAATACACATTCCAAGTCACCATGTTTGAGTTTACATTTCAACCTTGCAAATACAATTGTACATGTGCAAACACCAAACATGTCCATAACGTAATGAGATCTCCAAGTCCAGGTGGTTGTAATATATAACCAAATCTAGACTTTGAGCCCAATGTCGACCTTGTTGGACATTTTCCAATAGTGGGGTGTAGAAGGTGATGGATTTTAGGACCATCGGCTCCAGGGTGGTGATTGTGATGGACATAGTGATGAGTGGGGTGTAGATAATGGTGGTGGTTGCGGAAGTCTATGACATTGGAGGTGAGTGGTGGTAGTGGAGGCTGAGTATCGGGGAGCGTATTTTAGGGTTTTTCAAGACGGGTGGTTGAGATAAGGAGTGTGTGTGTGTGTGAGAGAGAGAGAGAGAGAGAGAGAGAGGAAATGCTTTATAACGTGTACATGGTATTAGAACGATTCAAGTGGATATGATGAATACTTTGTCAAACTTTAACGCATTCAAAATCTTATCATCTTATGATTTTTTTCATAAATATTGACCGGATAAGATTCAATATTAGACCGATTCAATTGGATATGATGAATACTTGGTCAAACTTTGACGAATTCAAAATCTTATCATCTTATGACTTTTTCATAAATATTGACCGGATAAGATTCAATATTAGACTGATTCAATTGGATATGATGAATACTTGGTCAAACTTTGACGCATTCAGAATCTTATCATCTTATGACTTTTTTCATAAATATTGACCGAATAAGATTCAATATTAGACCGATTTAATTGGATATGATGAATACTTGGTCAAACTTTGACGCATTCAAAATTTTATCATCTTATGACTTTTTCATAAATATTGACAGGATAAGATTCAATATTAGACAGATTCAATTGGATATGATGAATATTTGGTCAAATTTTGACGCATTCAAAATCTTATTATCTTATGACTTTTTCATAAATATTGACCGGATAAGATTCAATATTTTTTAATGCATAAAGTGATTGTAAATATTGCATTAAAGTCTTGTACCTCTTAAAATTCAGCCTTTCACCATATATATATATATATATATATATGGTGAAAGGCTGAATATATATATATATATATATATATATATATATATATATATATATATATATATATACCCGCGCCAAGCGACGGGTGCAAATAGTTTTTTTTGTACGTAGATGCGAGGGTAAAATAGTTTCCTATCTAGAGTCATCTATTGCATTTGTTTTAATTTCACAATGCGTTGAAAAAAATTATTCTTTTGGCGATTAGTTTCGTTTCGGAAATAGTTTTTTGTTGCATTTAGTTTATTTACGGTAAACGATGGCGCAATGTGGTATTGACAAAGAAAAATTTCCTTTTCAATGAATTGTTTTTTGTCCGGAATAGTTTTTATTTTTGATAATTAGCTTTCTTTAGAAAAAATATAATATTCCAAAAAAAAAAAAAACATTACTTTGTTTTGTGTTAGATGATACGTGTACAATTAAACCTGGTTTTGTATAAGGTTTTTGGTGTTGGTGTCGGTGAATACCATGATAACATTTCTGTCAAACTTAAATGCTTGAATAAATCAAAAAAAAAAAAACAAACTTAAACATTTCTCCCAAACTTAAAGGTTTTAGTTAGTATACACTATCAATTCCTAAAATCTTAGCTACAGTGAAGTTTTTTCTCTTTCTTATTTTGACACGGAAGTCTTTCTCTTCCTTATTTAGACACATGTACTTTTAGTTCTCATTCTACACCGCCATATGTTTTCCGATTCTTATCTTTTCTTTTTTGATTGTGCCGCCCTTCTCCTCCAATAGGACTCTCCACCGTCATTGACTGCGTCTCTGAATATATTCCTCATGCTTATCGGATTTCTTCACTTGATAACTCCTCCGCTGTATTCCCATTGTTGCATTCAATCGAACGATGAGGTCGACTTCTACTATTCCTTCTTATTTCTTCCAATTTCGTTTTATGTTAGCTTTTAATTATTTGGTTTAAAAAAACAGGTAGTAGTCGATCTGAACCCTAGAAATCGGTTTGTTCACCATACGGTTGAATCAGTCCAATCAGCATCGCTTCTTCCACTTCTTCACGCCTGTAGGTATACATAACATGCGTATGTCATGATCCAGGGTGTTGTTCCTCTGGGTTTGATCGACCCTTGATTTCCCGTCGATTTTGCATCCTCTTTGCCCCCCTCTCTTTCTGTAATCAATTTTGGCTCCATCCACTTTCCCTATAATTCTGAATTTCTATGGACGCATCGATTGCACCACAATGACTCGAATTCCCGTCTGATTAGACGAAATAGGAGGACGGTGACAACAGAGAAGTAGCACTCACATCATCTGTGTCTCTACTATAAATTGAAGTCCTCTTCTTCTGTTGCTGCAGGTAGCCTATCCAAACTCCAGATTTCCTCATTAAACTGTGTCTTATGTTCGTCTTTTTGTGTTATTACTGTGATTTAAGGCAAGAAAATGAGGCTGATGACATTTAGCTGAAAGAAGTCGAAAAACTGAGCGCATAAATCGAAAGCATAGGGTTAATTGATTATCCAGACAACCAACCAATTCATCCCCGATGGAAAACAAGTAAGTAATTCATTTTATTAAAAATCTGATATTGCTTT